AATTTTTTTAAAAAAATATGTGATTAAAAGGTAAAAAAATTGAGTTTACATATAAAATTATTTTTAAAAATGAAAAAATGATATTTTCCATCACATTAATAATTTTTCCTTCATTTTTAACCACACATTTTCCATCAATCTATTATTCAATAATACATTCTTTTAAAATAATGTGTCACAAACACACTCTAAATAAATAATCTATTCTATTACAACAAACGTGCCTTCTTACCATGCTGGTAATATCTTAAATTATTCAACTTGTCATTGTCCAAAAGTTTCTCTCTCCTCTCTCCCTACCCCAACGCATGACGAGAATTTGAAACCTGAGTTACTTGAATTACGGTATTTTGGACGTTTAGTGGGTCTGTCTATTCATTCTCATTTTCTCCTATCAATTTCTCAGGTGTTGTGTGTAGGGATTTGAACCCTTCACCTAATTATCACATTGAGTAATACCACTAATACGAAGCTCGATAAGTTGTAATGTGAATGGACGATAAGATCCCAGAAAGTACTCCTCCTCCGTGTTTGGGTGGGGGGTAGGGGTGGGGTGGGTTGCGTGTTTTCTTCAATCTATAAATATAAGCTTCCGCCAAGTTAGCTCTTTTTCCTTTCTTCTCCATTTTCACAGTTCCACTCCTGTTTTCTCTCCGGAGATATAGCCGGCCGACGGCTTTCTTTCCGCCGGAACATTCCTCGGATATCCCACTATCTCCTTCCTCCTCCTCTCTTACTTTTTCTTCCAATATAAGTATATCTTCAAGGTTTGCTTTCTCTCTTATTGTGTGTTTCTTTCTTTCTTTCTTGATTGTGAACTGGAGAGGATTTAGATCCAGTGTGTTTCTCACAGGTTAGAAACTTTTTTCTGAAACTCCTTTTAATCTTTACTCTATCTTGAGTCTTCTACAGTTTTTTTTTCCAGCTTCATTATTTAGATCCTGTGTTTTTTCACCATTCTAGCAAATTTAAACTGGATCATTAAGTTCTTTTGTGCATATTTGGTTTTTTGTTTGGATTTGATAATGCAGTTTGTTTCTTAAGTCTCTCCAGCTCTCAAAAGTTCCATCTTTTTTCTTTTTCTTGTTATTTTTTTATTTTTTCCAGCTTTTTCTTACCTTATTAACATATTTTCACTGTTAGGTTGCATTTTAGATTTGTTTAATTAGGTGGAATTTCTTGTTTATAGTTTTCAAAAAAAGTCAACTTTTAAGGTCAGATAATATCTACGGGCAGTTCAATCTTGGCTATCAATCAGAGTAAAAAATATGTTTTAATCTGAAAGAATCTTTTATCATTTCTAGATTTCAATTGTGGATAAGATAAGATTATTTTGATATTGGAAGTTCAAATGATCCTTTTCTTTGGTTATGTAATTCTTGTTCCTCCCAACACGTGGACCAAAGATGTGCAAATGGTACAAAAGATTAGTACCATTTCAGTTTGTTTAGTTGTTCTACTTTGTTGTTTGATAATATGGTATCGATTTTGATTATCATATTCTTTACCTTTTAAACTTATATTTAGATTACCGGTCTGTTTATTTCGATTCTGTTGTTCCTTTATTTCTTCTAGTTATGAAGATACATGCTCTGTATGGATATCTTTTGTTTGTCTTTCTGTAGCATAGAGTATTTTGGGGGTTCAAAGAAATTAGTAGCCTATACACGCACAGAGGTGTGAACGCACATGCACACAAGAAAATATATGTGCGCTGTATGCATAGTTTTTCTTCGGTATTGTATTATATTGGCGTGAAAGTGACTACCTTTTTGTGACACAGAGGATACTTGAGTTGAAAGGTGAAAGGTGATATGGATGGTACGAAGCTTATGGCTGATGGTACGAAGGATTTTGCACTTCGAAAAGTGAGTTCCCACTGCTCAATATCTGAAATGGATGACTATGATCTCTCAAAGCTTCTAGATAAGCCAAGATTAAATATCGAGAGGCAGAGATCGTTTGACGAGAGGTCGCTTAGTGAGTTATCTATTGGTTTGGCGAGAGGGTTAGATAATTATGAGGGCTTGTACTCACCTGGACGGTCAGGTTTGGACACTCCAGCCTCATCCACTAGGAATTCTTTCGAGCCCCATCCAATGGTTGCAGATGCTTGGGAAGCCCTCCGACGGTCCTTGGTGTATTTTCGGGGCCAACCTGTTGGCACAATCGCTGCTTATGATCATGCTTCTGAGGAAGTTTTAAATTATGATCAGGTAAAGCTTGTTAGAGAAAGAAACAAGTACTGTTAAGTTTATTGATCTTCTGGTAATTTGGATTCGATGATTATGATTTCATACAATGGTCTGGTTTTAATTTGACGTGAACTTAAGTTTAAATTAAGGCAAAGTCAACAATTAATTTCTACCACATATATCAAGGGATCCATAATTTTTTAACAACACTTTTCATCAGTTTTTATCAAAATCTACTAAATTTTTTTATTCTAACCCCCCCAAAACAAGGGCTAAATAAAACAATACTACAATTTTGTGAAAATTAATCCCAGTACTTGGAAGCAAGTAAACTAGGTATTTATGATTTTGCATTTGCTGCTGAACTTGTGTTTTCCCCTTACTTTTGATGTTTTTACCATGTTAAGGTTTTTGTTCGAGATTTTGTACCAAGTGCATTGGCCTTTTTAATGAATGGTGAGCCAGACATAGTTAAGAATTTCCTGTTGAAGACGCTTCAGCTTCAAGGGTGGGAAAAAAGAATAGATAGATTCAAGCTTGGGGAAGGAGCTATGCCGGCTAGTTTCAAAGTTCTTCACGATCCTCTACGCAAGTCAGATACAATAATAGCTGATTTTGGTGAAAGTGCAATAGGCAGAGTAGCTCCGGTCGATTCTGGTTTTTGGTGGATAATTCTTCTTCGAGCATATACAAAATCTACCGGAGACCTATCTTTGTCTGAAACCCCAGAATGCCAAAAGGGCATGCGACTTATTTTGTCTTTGTGCCTGTCAGAAGGATTTGACACATTTCCTACTTTGCTGTGTGCCGATGGGTGCTCAATGATTGATCGCAGAATGGTGAGACAATTTATCGTCTTATCTTGATGACGTTTATCATGTTTAGATAAAAATGACTGAAGCTTATTGAGGGAAAGATTAATGTGAATTCTAGGACCTAGTCAGACCCATAATTATGCCAAGTCTAAATGTTTAAGGCCATATTAACAAGTAAGCAATTGCCTGATAGTGGCATTATAAACATTCCCATCAAGATAATTTGGTGTATGGCATTAAAACGCATGATGTGAAGATTGATGCTGATGATGGGAAGGAAACTGAATATGTAACGTGGAAAGATATGTAAATATAGATTCAAATGGGAAGCAGATGACTTTTGGCTTATATATAAACCACATGGGTTAATTAGAACCCAAAATTGTGATTATTTATCAATTACTAGCCACGATGCTACATGTTGCTTCACTGTTGTTCTTAATGTTTTAGAAGGCATTTCTGATCCTCGAGGTGAGCGAGCATTGGAATTTCTCGAGGCAATGGTGGGAAAAGCTCTTGGCCACTAAGGCACACACTTGAGTTCTGAGACTGCCTTCACATTTGCCTTAAAAACCTCTTCACTTCCCATAATTGAGGTTCATGCCTTGGTTATTTGATTTAAATTAAGGATTAGGAATTAACATAAAAATATTAATTAAGAAATTTAAGAAAAGACTTTTCTTTTGTTGATATGTTTGTAGCGTAGGCTTATTTCTTTATATTTGGCTTCAAGTTGGAACTTTAATAACATTTTGCTTTAAATGCTTTAGAGGTCTTGGTCCTTTATACATAATATTCTTTGTTCTTTATGTTTTTCGATTCATTGTTCTTATTTTTCCCCATATATCTAGAACTTTTTCCATTTTTATTTACTTATACGGGTAAATAATTAATTTAGATATAGAAATCTAACATGAATTGCTAAGGCTGCCTCATGACTTTCTTAGAATTTTTTCTGAAGTTTATCGTGAATTTACTTTACAAATTTTTCCATATTTTACATGTATATTCTAATTGTTCCAGTTCAATTTTCCAGGGCATATATGGTTATCCTATTGAAATTCAAGCTCTATTCTTTATGGCATTGAGAAGTGCTTTAGTAATGCTGAAACATGATGCAGAGGGCAAAGAGTTCATTGAGAGAATAGTTAAGCGTTTGCACGCCTTGAGTTATCACATGAGAATTTATTTTTGGATCGATTTCCAACAATTAAATGACATATATCGGTATAAAACCGAAGAATATTCTCATACTGCAGTTAATAAGTTCAATGTTATTCCTGACTCAATCCCTGATTGGGTGTTTGACTTTATGCCGACTCGTGGTGGTTACTTTATCGGTAATGTTAGTCCTGCGAGGATGGATTTTAGATGGTTTGCTTTAGGTAATTGTGTCGCCATTTTGTCTTCTCTTGCCACTCCTGAGCAAGCTTCGGCTATCATGGATCTTATTGAATCACGGTGGGAAGAGCTTGTCGGAGAAATGCCTTTGAAAATAGCTTATCCGGCGATTGAAAGTCATGAATGGCGTATTGTGACTGGTTGTGATCCTAAAAATACAAGATGGAGTTACCATAACGGAGGATCTTGGCCAGGTTATATTGTCTTTCTCGATTTTCCTTTTGTTATTTAAAGTTAATATTTTAGTTCTACGTGAAGAAATAAATCATTTCGTTGATGAAGAAAATCTTATTTGTTCTAAAATCATGGTTTTAATTTGATTGGGTACTACTTGTCAAACCACCTCATCTAAAAGTTTAAATTTTGTCTTCAGTGCATCCCTTGTGTACATACATGGTGGATTCACTTTTTATAGAAGGCCTAACACTCAATTTCATAAATGAGTGGTGGCAAGAATTGAAGTTAGGTTATTTGTGTCTTCTGAATATGATCGTGTTTTTTCTAAGTTTAAGCTATTAGAGAAGGGACGAATGTATTTATATGAATTGTCTTCAACAATACTATTCCTTGCACTGAATTCTTGCATGAATAGAAGTCGCTAATCCCTTTATCCTCCTCTCCTACTTTTTAATATATATTTTTCATCAAAAGTCATCTTAACTCGTACATCTTGTTTTGCAACACTTGTGCATCCTAAATCCAGTGCTTTTATGGTTGCTAACGGCTGCCTGCATCAAGACTGGACGGCCACAGATTGCAAGACGAGCAATTGATCTTGCGGAGAGCCGTTTGGTCAAGGATGGCTGGCCAGAATATTATGATGGGAAACTTGGAAGATATATCGGGAAGCAAGCTCGAAAATACCAGACGTGGTCCATTGCTGGGTATCTCGTGGCAAAAATGATGTTGGAGGATCCTTCACATTTGGGGATGATCTCACTCGAAGAGGACAAACTAATGAAGCCCGTGATTAAGCGATCTTCATCGTGGACTTGCTGAACAGATCTCGTAATCACGGAGCATTAGAGAAAAACGAAAGGTGCACCGCTCTTTTGTTTCATTGAAGGACAACACTGTTTTAGGCTCTCTCTCTCTCTCTCTCATTGTGTGGAAGAGCTTTTGGGCAGGAAACAATCCAATTGTCTGAGATTCCCAAAATACATGGTCGTGTAATTATTGTGTAGTTTAAAGCAACCATTTTCTTTTGGTGCTGATGTCTATATAAAGTATGATTCAATTCCCTGAGCATATATCCAACTCTGATGAATATGAATTTGACTACTTTAAAACTAATTTTTGGCTGTTTTGTGGATTTTATGTATCTAAAAAGTCGGCTTTTAAGCATAGTCTAATATCTTGAAGAAAAAATTCGAGTTGTTACTATTTTGAGTTCAGCTATAAAGTTGAAAATGCTGCTGGGATACTTGACAAGAGTGACAAACATGCCCCAACTCAAAATGTATTTTGAAATTGTTAATATTTTTTATACGACTTGTACATTAGCTCAGCCTGTTTGAGCCTCATTTTTTTCTCTCCAAAATGCATTTTGGAATAGTATTTTGATAGAGAATGTGTGGTTAAAAAATAAAAAAAAAGTTTAAATTTGCGTGTAATATTATTTTATTGAAGGCGTGTGATTGAAAATAACCCCTTGTTTGTTGGGCATTATTCAACTCATTAATAGAATAATTGTGACCGTTACTAATCAAAGTGGGACTTACTTGTGAGAGCTTTGTCAGAAAAAAAAAGTCTGCTAGAAGGTACAATAACGGTTGGAATTCAACATGGATCGCATAGCCTATGATTATCTCTTGTTCTCTTATAATATCTATGTTAATTATTGCATGAGTTAGAATTATACATCACCTTTCGATCTTAATATTATCCATAAATCAATTAATTGTTATGCAAACAAAAAATAGCATTAAACACACAATAATTAATTAACAAGTATTAAAATTGTATAAAAATCTTGAAATTAAATATATAATAAAAACCTTAAACTACATAATCAATCATAACAATAATTTAGCCACTCATAATATTGAATTTAAACACCAAAATTAGAATGACATCACAAAAAATTGACGAAACGTGATTATTTCTAGTGTTTGCAGTCTCTTTTTTCCCCCTTTTCTTTCCTTTATTTGTTTTTCTGCGTTGACTTTTCCCCCTTTTTTTTTTCTTCTTTTTCTCTGCTCTTCTGTACGTTCTTTTCTTCCAACCGGCAGCGTCCTCTTTCATTTATTTTTCTCAATTGGCTGCCCTTCTCCTTTTCTGCGTGTGTATCTATAATTTATGTATGGAAAAAAATCATAATTAAGAGGTTATGTTTCACTCATTTCAAATTTAAGGACTTAGGCTTAAAATTTCAAATTGCAGATATTTTTAAATTTTATTTTTAAATTAATTAATTAAACATATATTTTATTAATTAAATATATTAAAGTCACAATTCCATATAATTTGGTCAGAAATTATAAATTAATTGATCACAAATTCTTTTTCTTTCACAATAAAAAAAAGTATAGGTCACAAATTATTTCATAATAACAAATCAAAAATTTTATATGTTACAATTTTTTCATTGGTCACAAATTTATAAAATTAATAACTCAAGTATTATTCATTTATCACAAATCACAAATTTTATATATCACAAATTATTTTAGCGTCACAATTCAATAATTTTATAAGTTACAATTTGTTCATCGGTCACAAATCAAAAATTGAAACGTCACAATTTATTTATAGGTTACAAGTCGCAAATATTATAAGTCACAAATTATCAGTCACAAATTAACAATTTTTTTGGTCACAATTTTTTTTCATTGGTCACAATTTGTTTGTTGGTCACAGATTAATCAATTTAGTGGTCACAAAAAATCAAATAATATATCACCACCACTATATCCTTTTGACTGCCATTTCAAGTGTTTTCTTGTTCTGCAAAATTGGACACAGAGGGATGAATTAGGAAAAGGGGGTTCTGTGAATTAAGAGCTAAACCAGAATACATGGCTAGGTGCTTGGGAGTGAAGAATGAGGTTTACAGAGTGAGTGAGAATTTTACAAGGGTGGTTTCCCCTCCGTGAAACCGATGATTTCCCCATAAAAATTAACAGCCCTTGAGAAATTAGAAACAACCAATGTTATCTGATGCAAGTGGGAATATATAATTACCCTTTTGTTCTTGTATTCGATTCCACCATAATTCATATTACATGTACACAAAGATAGGAAGAGAGAGAGAGAGAGATCTCGCTCTATATCAGCAAGTGAGTTCGTTAATTTATCGATATGATAATGCAAAGAGGCTGTGACGATTATTTTGATTCTTCTGAGCTGATGAATATGGCTTTTAGATGAATTGACCCGTATCTTGGTAGGGCAACCCGGATAGCATGTGATTTTGTGCAACCGGTGATTATGTAGCCATGGCGTGGTCATATTCTCAAATCAACCAATTAATCGGTCACGGCTGCAGTACCGCTTTAAGCAGCGCGCAACGACAGTCACAGGATGCTCCACGCGTTTGGTGGGGGGAGAAAGAGCAGCGACCTGGTGATGGAAGAGAGAGAGCGACGACGATATAGTGGCGTTATCGGACAGCGACAGTGGTAGCGACGCGACAACGACGGTGGTGGGTTGGTAGAGAGAGTGAGAAGAGAGAAGAGGGAGAGAGGGAGAAGAGAGTTGAAATTGGTTTTAGGGTTTGGAGTGAATTAGTTTAAATTTTAAATAATAATAATAATAATATTTAAAATTTTAATTATCATCTGATTTTTGAAATAAAAACTTGTAAATCTAGGTATTGTGTAATTTTCACTTTATATATTGCTGCCCTTGTTTAGTCCAATTTTAAAAGCTCAAGTTGAGGTCAGTAAATTCTAATACCAAATCAAATTAATTTTTCTTTCCAAGTTCTCAATTCATTTATGTAATTCAAGTTGATCCTTAAACCATTTTTATTTGTGCAGCTCATGCCAATTTAGTCATCGTTCTTTAAATTTTGCAATTTTCCTGCTAATTTGCATTATTTTCTTCAGCTCTTCATTTAAGATAAAGTTTTATCTACAAAATACAATTTCACATAAATTAGGTATAATTTAATTCAAAAGACAATAAAATATCATGATTTAGCGTCACGAATAAGTATAAACACTGCACTTATCGTTGTCTCATAAAGGGTATATATTGAATAATGTAATTGCTTAGGATCAATAGGGAATCATATAAATAGGCTTTTTGATTCAGGTTCATCTACGAAGCAGTGCAAAGGCTTAAAATATTTGCTAGGATGCAAATGGCAATGCTATTGTTTTATTTCACTTTTTCATTAACATAGGATTGGAAGATGACGAGCAAATCAGAGTACTTTAGGCTTAGACTAGATTGGAAATGAGTACGAAGAGAAGCATGTGACGAATTTGTCACTTGTCTTGTCCGTTTTAGTGTGTACTAATGAAATATTTTGTCACCACCTTTTGTTCCTAATGGTTTTGTCGCTACTTTCTACAAAAGATGTAGTATGGACTTAGTCATTTCTTGTTTAGCACTATAGATGTTTATCTTGATTTCTAAAAAATAATTGAAAGAAAGACGTAGATAGCGAGTGGGGTATGGTGCACTTCGTGTACAAATGAACACATCAACATTTCAAACATTATTTTTAATAAATTTAGAGTCCGTACATTAATCCTTATTGACACTTCATTCGATTCATTGGTATTGGTTTGCCCTCTCTATTGTCACTTTCCTATTGTATTACGATAAGAAACTATTCTTCCTAGAACAAAAGGATCAAAACACTTGCACACTCCATGCGGAATTTACTAGTACACATTAGAGATAGCAAGGTAGTAGTTACATAGTTCGTACAAGTTCTACTTAAGCAACAAGATTAGTACTCAATATTTGTGTGTGTGTTGATCGTTTGATTTCCCGCAAGTGCACGGGATCGTGGTCAAGTAATAAAATGATGAATTAGAGTGTCGAACCCACAAGAACTATGTGTTTGATCGAGTTAAAATTAATTGTAACTTTAATCAAATAACAAACAAATTTTGTGATTTTTTTATACTAATTCCTAAATTATCAATTAAACTAACGAAAATAAGTAAATGTGGTTTTCAAATATGTGAAATGTATTGCTAAGATGTCGATTCCCCCTTATTATTCCATTTTTAATGTAATAATTAAAGTGACAATTTGAAATCATTTATGTTGGTCAATGTTTCTAATTTAATTGAAAGCTGCCCTCGATAGCGATCAAATATATTCCCNATAGCGATCAAATCAATTCCCCTCACGTGACATTTCTATCTCTCGATGAAATATGCAAACATGATAAATGCATTAACAAGTGCTAGAACACCTATTGAAACCATATAAAACATGGGGATTTATCTCTATCTTCTATCGAACTTTACAATGTTTATTATATTGTGCTAAAACTCTATTGTATCTCTCAATAAAAATCCAATAACAATTCAATTGGTGATCAAGCAATTGAAAAGAACGATAAAAACGATAATAAACATCAACAAATCAAATCAAATTAAAGTCAAAATAATTAATTAAAAACTAAAAATATCATAATAAGGGTTCATCTCATCCTAACAATGTATAAAACTAACCTAACATATCGAAATTATAAGAAATCATATTTAAGTAAAAAGACGTAACCCGAATTTTTGATAAATTGAGAAGATTAAGATGAATTTTGAAATCTTGAATCTCTTCAATAGTTTCTTGATAAATCTTCACTTGTGTCTTCTCTTCTTTACTCAAAAATCAGGTTTGAATATTCACTTGATTGAATTCTTGCAAATCTCTTTCAATTCTCTCACAAAAATTATGAATTTTCCTTATTTGATAATAATAATTGATGAATAGTGGAGTATAATAATAATAATAATTATATGAGAGGTCTCTCATATGTATACTGCTGTCGGTATTTATAGGAGTAGAAAATTGGTTGAAAATCACCTCCAAATTGGTTTCCAAAAGAGTTCCAATCGAATAAAGAAAATTGTCTTCACGCACTAATTTCTTTGTCTCTGCACAGTAGTCAGTATTTTGGCAATAATTTTCTCTCTCGATATCCGATTGAGACTATTCAAAGTGTATTGAAAATTTAGCTCAAAATGCTACAACTTTTCTAGAATATAATTCTTCCAATTCAGACGTTTACTATGCCAAAAATCGATTTCAATTTTCGACTAAAAATCTGAAATATAACTTGTGCAATTAAAAATTGATTTTGATCATATTCCATTCCTTTTTGAGTTATAATTCCATCAAATTGTCTCCTAACAATCTTCAAAATATCGTCTTGTGGTCTAAATTAACTATTGAATATTTACAATTTGGTCCTCAAACTTTGAAATTTGTCATTTTCCTTGAGTTTTCTTTTGTTTCTTTCAATTTTTTGTTCAACCATCGAGTTTAACCTATATAACATAAAATACCACAATTTAGGATATATTTTGTCAAAAAAATTGTTAAATATCGATATTTTAGGTCCTGAATAAGTGTATCATGTCTTTATGAGAAAAATTGGAATGCAATTTTTTTTTATCGGTAAATATGAATTATATCGAGCAAAGTATCATGTACAAGTTAGTCCGGAGAGGGGCTAAAATGCCAGTTCTCTATGCACTGTCCTGACTGAGTTCGTACAGTAAAACTGCAGCTATACTCACTCTGTAGCTATTGGGTCCACTCCCTGCACATTAACAATGCCCTCAGTCCTCTCTTTCTGTGGCTCTCAATTTCCCACTTAAGATGTAACTTTCTCTTTTGGTCCCTCCTCTGACGTCTGTACTGTGTTTCCCTGTTATAGGGGTAGTGTTGTTGGGTGGAGTGTGTGTGTGTAAGTGAGGGAAGGATTAATTTCCTGTTTATTTATTTTCGAATCGATTAGTAGAACCATTTTTAATTTAGAGTTGATTAGACAAATTATTTTTTGTCGTTCTATTTACTGTTAATGCTATATTGATTAAATGTGGCAACACGGGTGAAAAACAAAAAAAGAGGGAGAATCATTTTTTATTATCGACTAAACAAATAATTTCCAACCGTTCTATTTATTCATTAGTAGAATGTGGCAACAAGGGGTGATAAGGAAAGAGAGGAGATGTTTGAAATGGTGGATGTTAGTGAGATCGATAATGATGAATTTTTATTTAGAGTTGACTAGATGAATCATTTTTTATTATTACGTTTGTTTTTTATTGCTATATTCGATGATTGAATATAGCACCCGAGCGAAAAGCAAAAGAGAGATTTTGTTTTCCGTCCCAGACTCCCAGTGAAACAAGATAAAGAATTTTAAATTGATAAAAAAAAATAAAAAAATAAATAAATAGTGAACTATAACACAATTATTTGACAGATACTTCATCCGTTTTCCATGTGCCTATTGCTTTAAAAGATAAGATGGCAAATGGTCAATTATCCAACCAGGTGGATTAAATTGAGAATTTCCCAAAAAGAAAAAGTTTGTGCGCGTGTGTCTGTGTGTTGGGGGGTGGGGGGGAGGGGTTGGGGATGTTCTGTGAATGCTGGCAATTCTTAAAGCCAGCTAAACAGTATGGTATTGTACTCAAAAGAGAGCCCACCAATGGGCCTGAGCTTCTTCTGCCACATTTACTGATTTTTTTTGCAGGTCCACCCACCTGCAACCTACCACCCGCCCAGTTGGATTTAGACCCCAACCCTTCCAGCTAACACAAAATCTCACACTGATTCTCCAATGGTGGTACTTTTGGAGGCATTCACACCTACTTTTTCAGCTCTCTAAGTCAGCTGTCAATGTTAAGTTGTTCATATCTCAATGGATTAGGAATATATTGAATATTTCATCTTTGTATGAGTTTGTTCCTTATATTTTGATCTTAGAACGACTAAAATTTTGCTGCTTGTTCCCTAATATAATGAACGCAACTCTTGGAACTACTAAAAATTTGCGTGTTGTCGACCATTAAAAATTAAGGGCCGCTAGAACTTGGTTCGACCTTACATTGACAGGGGCTACGGGCGAGCTTGGTGGGGCCATTGCCACCCTAAAGGGAAGAGGGAAAGAATAACCCCCAAAATTCACAATGTCACTTATTTAGTTGACTCCAAAGTCTTTCCATCAATAACACTCTCTCTCTCTCTCTCCCTCCCCTCTATGTATGGCCTAAACTTCATCAAAATGTTTGTAGTATCAAGAAAATTCTCTTGACAACAAAATTCTGCACTTCATGGAGTCACACACGAAAAACCAAGGCAGTAATAGTAGCTCCCAAGAACCAGCTTTTCTTCAACTGGTTTCTCACCACCAACAAAGTCAACCAGATCCCGGCCACACCTCCGTCCACCGGCACTTCACAGGCCCCGCTACTAGTAGCATCACTTCCTCCTCGTCCACGACCCCAATAACTACTACCAATAATAATGATAATAACAGCAATAAGAATGATTCCACCGCCAAGAAACCATCCAAGGATCGACATACCAAGGTGGACGGCCGAGGGCGGCGCATCCGTATGCCGGCCCTATGTGCAGCCAGAGTTTTCCAGCTGACCAAAGAATTAGGCCACAAGTCTGACGGTGAGACTATAGAATGGCTTTTGCACCAAGCTGAACCATCGATTATAGCAGCAACTGGCACAGGTACAATTCCAGCCAATTTTTCGACCCTCAACCTTTCTTTACGCAGCCGGGGAACCACCATTTCAGCTTCACTATCCAAGTCTATGCCTCTCTTTATCGGTGGCGCTACCAACATGCTTGGGTTCCACCACCAGCTCACCTCAAACAGTGGGGGTTTTGGGCAAGACCTAGATGCTGCAACCTCACATTCAGATACTAAACCTAGGAGAACCATCATGCAAGATCATGAACTAGGTTCAGATCAGAAACCCGGTTCATCTCAGCCCTCCAGCTTCATCCCGGCTCCCGCCATGTGGGCGGTGGCACCAGCGAACGCCAACATAGGGAACGCCTTTTGGATGCTGCCCGTGACTGATGGAACTGCCATGGCCCCTGTGGGTGCAGGGCAGCAAGAACACCCCTTCTGGCAATACAAAACCTCCCCCACTCAGAGAATTGGTGGCTTCGAGTTTACCGGAGTTGGCGACCGGTTTAACCCCGGATCAATGGTGGTGCAACACCCATCGCCGCCGGTTCAGCAGCTGGGACTAGGTGTCTCAGATACTACAAACATGGGATTGCTGGCCTCTATCAATTCATATAGTAATGGTAACTGTAGGATTGATTTGGGCATGAATTTACAGCAAAACCAGCAACAAGATAATGTCAGTGATGATGAAAATCCCAAAAATTCTTGAAAAATCCATATGATTAAAATCCCTATATTATTCTTGTTGGAAGTCAAGTTTTTCTTCGCTAGCTGTTTTCCTGGTTTATTACTTTCTTGATGATAAGATTTCTACTTTAGTTCATCTTTTCAATATTCCTTTTTGCTCCCCACTTTTTTCTGTATTGTTTTCAGACGTGATTATATAATTTTAATTGGAACGTAATTGAATTGGAATTGTTAAAAAGATTAAAGATAAAAACTATCAGAGAAGAATGTTAACATGCATAATGATTACACAGTAAAAATCATAGATACATCACAAAAATCACGTATATGCCTACATCTTATCTTTAACATAAAAAAATTGATTACGTCAAAATTGTAGATATGTATATGTCGAAAATAATTATATTTGATGGCTTTTTAATAATGAAAGTTCGGTTTTTGTCGTTCTTTACACTTGAAATTCAAGCCATCTCCAATATTAAGATGTAAATTTGGTTCAAACAATAGTGTCTGGTCTTTTCAGGACAAAAATGGGTGGGTTGTAATATCGGTTCACTCTTAGGGGCATATTTGTATATTTCTATAAAATTTGGTCAGAGAGACAAAACTTTCAACTTTTGACCATTTTTCAAAATGGGATGTAAATTGGACATTTTCCCCATTTTCCTCTTATTAATATTCAGTCTTTGGAGTGGGTGTTTATTTCCATTTTGGTGTGCTTAATCAAGACTTTGTTGAAGGATAAAAGGGTATAGTTGCTGACACTGTTTTGACTTTTGTCTAGTGAGAGTCTTCTTCTATTTGTTTTTTTATTTTTGGGCTTTTCATATCAACTTTTTTTTTATGGGATTCAGTGGAACAGATGAAATTTGTGTTGTCTAAATTATTTGAACTCTCTTAATTTAGGGCAACATAATTTTTTTAAAAATATTTTTTTCTCGAAATCATTTTCAATCCATATCCTCACTTTTCAACCTTTACATCCTTCAAAATATCATTTTTCACTTGAAAATAATATGTCAAACGAGCTCTTAGATGATAATTTGATTGTTCATTAATTAACAACGAAAGTTACAAAACAGTAATCATTATTTTTATTTTAATAAAACGATAATATTCATCACTACAAGGCATCTACCATTGAACCTCAAGGGCTCGTCGGTCGACCACACCATGATTGACCACGAGACAATTTAGCCTCAATATCGAACTTGACTCTGGATTTGATATCGGGATCATATACGATGATTGATGTATCATTAGATAAAATTAGCAGCATTATTGAAGGAATTTTTTTAAAAAAAATATCAGTTAAATAGACCATCATATTATAAAAAAAAATCAACGAAATCTTATTTGATCAAGCATTTTCAAGCCACTATTTCAACCTGAAACTGAGCAACTAAACAGCATGACATTGAAAATTGGGTAGCATTTCGGCTTAATCTCTGTTATTGCACGAAAAGATAATTTAATGATAAATGTTATGCCGAAGCAGTCTTCTTTTGCTGAAAGATGACAGCGAAAACTGGGACTGCAACCCCAATGGTGAATGCAGAAAGGACACCAAGAGTCATTTTCAGTTGCTGATGTTTCATCCTATCCAAGTTGTACATGTGCTTTGCGTGAAGGTAGAAAGGCTCGTCATGGCCATGGCCTCCTCCCATTTTCTTTACACCCGTTGAATGAAACCCTCTATTCACTGTTACAAAAATAAAAACAAATTTCACCCTATCCGTAAGTAAAACAAACAAAAATATAGCACTATTGATAAGACGAGTACAATTTCAGATTCTTGCTTATTCATTCGTGGTATGTCTGGTACATGCTACAGGGTATGACTAAAAGTACCATAAACAAGATTTCAACTTGTTTTTATTCCCTAATACTGTCTAGTACTACCTAAAACACTCAAAACCAACAATGCCATCAATATGCTGAATTAGTTTTCAGCCTTCACAATGCAATTGAGTGTCATCCGTTTCTTGAGTAGCATAAAAAATTTGGAAATCTCTCTCTCTTTTCCACGAGTAACATGAACATATGCAAGTGTGTTAATACCCACACGTGTCTAATGTAATGACAAAATATCCTTCTCGAGAGTGTCCACACTTCTCAAATTAGTGAAAGAGAAAATAATAGCAAAGTGTACATAAGCTAATTAAAAAAACATGAGACAATTTCTTTAACATCCCAATTAACTTAGCATGATATTGTCCGCTTTAAGCCTAGCCCACACAGTTTTGTTTTTGGGCTTTCACCTTAAAGGATTTGTACTAATTGGAAGCGGTCATTTCACTTATAAATCAGTCTCATTTTCCTTCCCCAGATGATGTGAGATTGTAGCTACTATAATCACCAACCTTAGGGGGCTTAAGTTCTGAAATCATTAGTAACATCTCAGTCCACTTGGTATGATATTGTCTACTTTGGAGCCCAGCCCATACTATTTTGTTCTTGAGCTTCACCTACAAAGCCTCAGTGGACAATATCATACCAAGTAAAGTGGGATGTTACAAATTATATCAAAGCTTAAACCCAGTCGAAAGTGCGGCCGATGAGGACGTTGGGCCCCTTGAGGTAGGGTGATTGTCGTAGCCACAATTCAACATTGCCTGCGAAGGAAAATATGACTGATTTATAAGTGAAAGAACAACTCTCAATTGGTATGAAACCTTTTGGGTGAAAACCCAAAAACAAAATTGCGCAGGCTAGGCCAAAACGAGCAATGTAATACCAAGTGGACTGGGATATTACAGTTTCTTAGCAGCTACTCTGCTTGAAGTAAAGAAACTTCAAGGTGAAGTAAGGCTTAAGGACTTTACAAGGAGATCACGAAACAAGAAACACCTATTCTGATCCTCTTCACAGCAAATTTAGCAGGTAGAACTTTAGATTTTGGGTATGCTTTGAGTTTTACTAAATTCTAATCAAAATAAAGGGATATACCTAATAAAGGTCACTCTATTATACTGCATTTCTTGAACATAAAACAATGTGTCAATTCTCTAGTTCACCTAGAGTCTCTGCTACATTTGTTACTCGATCAATCTTTAGGGGCAGAAGACAGCTTGACCACTAGATAGCTTTGAAGCATATGTTCTACAAACAGGTAAAAATGCAAAGGAAATCTATAGACTATAATGACTCAAATAACAATAATCAGAAAGCGGAAGATAAAACTTGAACCAGTTTAACATTCCAAAAATCTTACTATCTTTGTTCAGTAGGAAAAGAGGAAAAAAAACATCAAATTTGTTTAGAGTGAGTTGAAGTTTCAGAAACATCAGTAGAAGTGCACAAAACTTCACTGAGGCTTCTCTCAGCCGCATGGCTGGCATCGATACTATGCAAATCATAAAGAGCTCCAACATTTGCATATTTAAGGCAGCAAAAATGACACTTCAAGGTAGATTGCCCGTGGTTGAGCACTTCATCATTAATATGTGAGAAGAGAACCTCACAAAATTTCAACGGAGAACCATCATACCTCATCCAAAGAAGATAGAATAAGATAAGGCAAAGCTGGGAGTCAAAAGAATAATTGAAACCTAAGGAAGAGTCTCCTGGTTTTTAGCTAAAATGATGTTTTTTCCCCCCTTTTTGTTTTGTTAGATAACACGAACAGACAGGAACTGTGGCAAGAATTATTCAGAAGGAAGCTACCTGAGGCCCGCAATAGGTGAGTTCAGACAATAATCAGGGTTACGCAGGATGCAGCCCAGAAAATGAGTGTTCTGCTGTGGCAAAATGCACATTTACTGCAATATTGATTTGGGATAGGAGTCGTCTGTTTTAGAATTTTCTTTATGGTAATAAATGAATTCCCTTAGATTAATACCCAAACAAAATTGAGGCTAAAAAAAATTTATACTAAAATTAAGGTTCAGTATCAAGCATGCTCCAGTAGCCTCTGAAGGAAAAGTGTAGATATTGGTGGTCACTAACAGTACATATTTTCCGACTCCCTACCAAAAAACCACTCTACGATTAATCAAAAAAGCGGACAGAGAAAACTGTACCGACCATTTAGGTAGTGTGCTCAAATTCATAGAGTTATTCGACACAATAAAACTTAGATGCTTGAAGCATTTATATTGTAGAACAGGAAAAAATTATCAAAAGATGTAGAAAAGAAACGAATAGATAAAATACAAAAACAAATCATACTTATTAGTTATCAGGACAATTCTTATAAAGAAATAATAACAAGAGGGAGCCCAAATTGTTGCAAAAGCTTTAATCTTTGTAATGGAAATCAGAAGGGTTAAAGCCTTAAGGTTTATCAAAAACATACAAGGAGCTAAAAACCAGGAAACGACATACATCATATACACACCCGCCTAGATCAATTTCACACAGCTGTATAAATATTATATATACACTAATTCGAGTTTATAGAGGCACTGATAATGTACAGAAAGTAACTATGACTCCAAAAAGAAAATAAACATCCAGCTTGAATTCAAATTTCTTTCAAAATAAGCTCATAATATGCACCCAAAAAACTCAACAAACATTATCTTTCAGATGGAAAAAGAAAAACATTTACATGTGGAAATACAAATTAACAAAGCGAAACAGAAAATCGACTAAACAGGTATGCGTCCAAATTTCAAACAAATCTCGATTGACTGAAATAATAATGAAAATTTGGAAATAAAAAAAAGACCTGATTTGGGGAGAAATGATTCAGTGGAACTGAGAAACTTGGACGCACACGATCTCAATCCGTTGTTCATCGCCATTTTTTTTAAGAAATTCTTTTTATCAAATTAAAAAACAGTTATTTTGCTTCTGCTGTGTTCATATAAGATGAAAGCAAAATTGAATCGATATGGGGACATTTTGCAAAATGACCTATCAATAGT